ATAAATGGATGTTATACCCAGCGTTCGGTAGCAGCAAACTGTTCGACCTAGGCGACGTCGAGGCCACGATCGTCACTCGAAACAAGCTGTACAGCCTCGTCTTCACCGACGATGACAAGTGGGTGTTGTTACCCTCTCGTGTCGATTGGTTTCTCAACATTAGGCTCGGCTCCCCCTACGTGTTCACGGAAAACAAAGACAACTACCTAAACAAAGTCATGAACAACGGAACCCTGCTCGTGGCTTACGTCCCGACGCAGAGGCGTAGCGTAGTCATCAGCCCACTCTCCAGTATGGCAGCTCACATGCTGTCGAGCAAGCCCGGGACGCAAAACGTGGCATTGCAGGTGGTGTCTGAATTCGAAGGTGTGGTCAACATCCTGGAGAGTCTACCGGCGAACTCCATGCTGGTCATCCAAGTCTACCTAGGTGAACCACAGCGCGAAGTCGATGTCGTGAGGGGGATCAAACTCTGGTGGGGGAAACAACACCAGTATCAGGTTTGCACTGTTTACGTGCGGGTGTGTGTAGACTCCCACACCAGTCTGCAGGGGGTCACCGTGACCGTGGAAGACACGATATCCCTCACCAAGATCTTCCTACCCGACAACATACACCTCATGGGGGTGAGGTGCACCCCTGAACTACTATCAGAAAGACAATTGGTTTGGGCCCGGCAAACGCCAATCCGTCTTCAGGTCTAGTTCGAATTCATTTCAAACGCGTTCGTAGGCCCGTCTATTGTACGGGTTGTTTACTGCGTCCCATGCTTTGTCCTGTGGGAGCGGAGCGCTGATCTCTTTGAGGATACGCCTGACCTGGTAGTACACATGAAACGTGAACACAGACTGACTCAGCGGTCCCCGCCGAGTGTCGGTCAATGTCAAGCCACACCCAGTCGTCACCAAGATCTTCCTACCCGACAACATACACCTCATGGGGGTGAGGTGCACCCCTGAACTACTGTCAGAAAGACAATTGGAAACTATCTTGTAATAGTATTATAGCAATGACCGGTCGTCATCACCCCAAGTACATTGATCGCCTATAAAATGAAGCCCAATTAGAACATATCTCATAAGATATATTATATGCACACAGGATGGGGCTGTACCAAGTCGTAGAGGAAGTAGCGAAGACACTGGAAACTGTAGACGGGTTCCGCTTGAGACAGTTATGCGACATAAAACACCAACTAGAACAAGACCGCGACAGACGGGCAGCGTTATGCAAGAAGTACCATAGGGCTTTCAATGCCGTGGACGGGGTTGATACCACCCTTATGGCAACCAGCATGGGACTAGGGGCGGTAGGTCTCGGGTTGTTGACCACCATCATGGCCGCACCTATAGTGCTAGGCATCGAAATAACAGCTGGGGTGTCAGGGTTGGCGGGGTTGGTGTTTAAGTTTGCATCCCGCAGACTGCATCTTAAAGCGTTGAAGCACGACGAGATCAGGGTCCTGGCCGAAGCAAAGCTGAACACGGTAAGCGACCATATCTCCACGGCACTCACAGATAACAAGATCTCGGAGGAGGAGTTTCGTTTGGTTCTCTCTGAACTCACCAAGTACCACGAGATGAAACATGAGATTCGAACCAAGTCTCGTAAGCCTGCCGTCAGCGAAGCCGCGAAAAAAAAGTACATAGAACAAGGCATACAACAAGCCAGGCAAGCCTTCATTACGAAGACCAAAGAGCTCATAGGCGATTCACATTAACTGTTTCCTCGAGGTCAACACAACATAGGGCGACAATAGCATCACGTGATCAGGAAAGTGTTGGTTCGCGGTCTTAGTGACCAGGAAGTTAACTGGGGGTTCAAACCTGGTATATACAATAGCGGAGAGAGATAAGGGCCTGAAAAAAGCTTTATTTCATAAATGAAGCTTTACACAGTCTTTTGTTGGACTTGATCTTGTACCGCTACTGTATATACTACTGCAGGATACACGTGCATTCATTGCACAATATGAATAGGTACAATTTATTTGAACACGACGATAAACTTCACATAATCTCACCTCAAGGAGGGAAACATGATGTCTGACAAGAAAAGCCAAATGCTCTCTGTATTAGAACGTCAAATTGTCTCACCTAGAAATGGCAGAAACATCATCGAGATGAAGGCATTCAGAACCATAGTGGCGACAAAGGACTGTGATGACCTTGCCATCAGTCGTCAAAGTAATGTTTCTGTGGCAGAACTTCTTCCCGTCAATTCTTTTCTAAGCTACACTAATCCCAATGCAATACAAATGTATATAGCTATGTCATACATGATTAAACTTCAATACTTATACATACATAATACATATTTACATATAGTTTCCTGATTGGCCGTATGTGACATCTTGTTTGGTTCACATTATTCATGTCATATTTCTTGACAATTAATTCCCCTAAAAGGATATTTTACGACGGTATTGCTATTTTCGAAGGACATATCTACCGTTTATCACATACATCATCTACTAATTTTTACATTTTCTATTAATATATTCTTCCGATTGCACATTAGAGACAGTTTGAGTGATCGTTTTAATTGCTAGACAGTGTACATACGTGTATATACATGTAGACAGTAAGTGCTGTACGATGCGTATCTGTAATACTCAATATCACAAAGACATTTGTATAGATTATTCATAACTTCTGGTAGATCATGGATGACATCAGGTATTTCCAAAAGAACGAGACTTGACATTTAATGTCATTTAACAGCCCCGTGGCAGTTATTTATGTGCAGTATGAAATGAAATATTGTATGTTCCCGTATTCAAATTGTTCATTGGGACAGTATCTCTAATGGATCCTTCCCACGGAACAGATTGTATTCGAGGGTTTTATGAAATGTAAATCCGCATGAACTCCCTAGTGTTTATTAAGCTTTCGAAATACCTTTGTACTTCAAAATGATACACGAGTTTCACATTTTCGTAAAGAAACGACCCGTCAAGATCCGAATTGATCTTCAGTAACCAATGCTTGTCGTAAGAGGTGACTAACGGGATCGGGTGTTCAGATTCGCTGACTTGGTTGACACATGTCATCGGTTCCCAATTGCGCAGATCGATGTTCATGCTGTTGATCCCTGGATTGTGTGGTCCAGACTCGATTGTTTACCGACCGCCGCCATATAGCTGGAATACTGCTGAGTGCGGCGTAAAACTACACTCACTCACTCGTAAAGAAACACCAGAGATCATACACAGTAGGACAGGCCTGTCGCGCCTATGAGTGTAACTGAAACATATAGACGCCATGCTGCTTTTTTCCTGCAGTAGTCATGATGCACGACACATGCGCAGATGGTCTTATGTGAGGACTTCCGCTGTGTCGTAAGCTATAATTGTTCTCTCATATATATAAACTTGCAGGTATTTTGGTGCAATGATTGGAAGACTTTGATCTGAAACTAACACTCTAATGGTCAGTTGCAGCGTTTGCTTCCTGTGTCCTAAATAATTATAACATCCTAAAGTGAGGAACCGAGATATGCAGCCTTTTTGTGACAGTTAATGAAACCCAATGGACGTTTTGAGTCGATATGTAACAGTGTAAAGGACATATCTGCCGTTTATCACATATATTATCCACTAATTCTACAGCCGGAAGTATTATGGGTCAGGAAAAGTTTGTCGGCTCACTGTTAGTGGCTTCCATCGGGTTTGGTGCACTCGAAATGAATGTTGACACACAATAGGCAAACTACACCAAACAGGACGTCTAACGAGTGAAATGATGACAACTAACCTTCCTTTCAAAGTGTCAATAGCGGAACACTGATCGGACAGTAAGTGACAGCTTGTGCGATCTAAAGATCAGTCCACGCACAACTTCGCTGAATCTAAAGTAAACATAATGATTAAAATTGATAAGATGAACTACAAGTTTAAGTCATACAATGATATACAGTAAGTTCTCATTAAAACCAGATAATGCAATAACACGATTAACATGCATATTTTAGCAAACGCCTCCACCCCGTTTTTTCACAATTTGGTTTAGAGCTCTGAGCCTGTTTATTTTACGGCCTTGTGTACGACAAAACACATGCATAGAAACGGAAATAACTCATCATCATTTTCACGGTGAATACATCATGGAAAAGTTGACAATATGTTTCTATTCACATCCACACAGTGATTTTTGTTGACATCCCAATTTGTTCTGATTAAAATGCACTTTTTGATTACTATGAAAATGTATAAATTACTCAATCATAATCATTTGTCATTTAGCACAGAATGTTGTCCAGCCATTACCCGTTTAACATGTAACAATTTTCACTTGCAATAATGGATGGTTTTCTCTCTAAAAACCGTAAAATATTAGAACAATGATGGTAAACCTTTCTTTACAAAAAACTCGCGAACAACACAATAGTTAAAACGTAAAATCTGCAATTACCACTGGTCCGAAAGTCTGATCTCTATTGCCAAGACCTGTGAAATTGGCCTGAACAACAACTAAAAGGGTTGCTGATGTGCGCTAATCCCACCCTAAATCATCAAGGAGCAATTCCTCTCCATAACTCAGACTGGATCATAAGGCTCCCCAAGACGGGAATTGTACAAAATCTCTCAAAGGACGCATACGAGCGACCATGTTTGTCAAGCTACGAAAATTCTTAACTAGTTAGGAGTACCATAGGGGCATTCCTAAATATGTGTCATACTTAGGAGTAATTCTAAGAGTACAAAGTTTTATAAATGTGACTTAAGACATTCTTAACACTTAAGTGTAAATATAATGGAATTCTAAGAATTTTATTGATTTAAGAATTCTTACCAATTCTAAGAATTTTTATAAATACGGCCCCAGGTCTGTAAGAACAGCAGTCCTTCACCACAACCGGGATTGACGGAGATGATTTCAGCACCACCATTCTCGATGGCGTTACACCAGGCTATGCCCTACAGTGGGACGACTGTGTATACAAGTCACTGTGCTTGACACCTTTAGCTTATCCATATCGACTGTTATCAAAAAGCAATAGTCGTTAAATGTCTTTGTAGACCTGCACAGACTCTTTATCGTTCTCGGTGGGGCTTCTCGCTTCTCGGCGACATCCTCCTTCTGGGGCGGTAGGTACTGTCATACTTTCTGTACTTGCTGACTCTTTGATATAGACACCAAAGCACCACCCATAATGTTATAAATCTGGTACATCGTGAGTGAGTGAGTGAGTGAGTTTAGTTTTACGCCGCACTCAGCAATATTCCAGCTATATGGCGGCGGTCTGTAAATAATCGAGTCTGGACCAGACAATCCAGTGATCAACAGCATGAACATCGATCTGCGCAATTGGGAACCGATGACATGTGTCAACCAAGTCAGCGAAACTGACCACCCGATCCCGTTAGTCGCCTCTTACGACAAGCATAGTCGCCTTTTATGGCAAGCACATGGGTTGCTGAAGACCTATTCTACCCCGGATCTTCACGGGTTCTGGTACATCGACTGCATATAAGTTATATTGTATGTTTGAAATATTACTGAAGTATGTGCCTAGTGAAATGTATGTGTCTATGCCTATGTGTCTCTATATATGTGTAAGACACATATATTGGATTGTATGATCTATATAATTCGAGGAGTAAATCATTTGTTGAATGGAAATGTATATATATAAATTTTAGCACGTGTGAGGCCAGAAAACCTGAAACAGAGACACCTGACCAAAGTGCAATACAAGGGCATTATCATTTACAACTCATCGCTTTTATCACTCGAGGGTCAGGTTACTCGCCCGCACTACTACATATAGTACACTGTTACAAGCGTACAGATTAGCGTGTTATGGCCTGGTTTAACAAATCGATCGTAGAACTATGACTATCGTAAATCTTATAAGTTTTCAAAGATTTACGGCAGTCATAAACCACTTTACATTAACACAGGTTTACGACAATCGTAAATTCTTATACTTAAACACTGATTCACGACAGGTGTCGTAAAACGAGAAAAACGCAAATTACTATACTTGCACATAGATTTACGACAATTTACGCGTTTTGAAGCGAGGCTGTAGTCTCATACTAACAGAAGCCGGCTTTCCTGACTGTACAATTGGCTATCAGACTTTATGTTACCTTCATGTAAAATACTAAATTTATTTCATTGGTCAATGACGCTTTAACAAGTTTCCGTGTCACCCCTCCCAGGAAGGTGACAACTAGAAAAAATATGATCCCCCGCCACGGTAACCGCCAAACTCTCCGCCGAGAAGCTGTATCGCTAACAATCGTATGACGTCATAATATAACGCATGCAGTGCACGGAGTTCGAAAACCTTGTTCACTATGTACACATTTATTTTACAAGCTTTCACGGCTTTAAAAAAAACTATTTTATACATTGCATTGTTTGCACATTCAACTTAAACGTAATTAACCATTTTTATAGCAGTTTTAAGCTTGTCAGAATATGTTTCACTGAATTTAAAAATCCAGTCGAGAAACAGATGCCATTTTGTTTACATTTTATATAGACGGCAGCGATCTTCAAAATAAATAAAATGATAGTTTGTACATTTAACATTTCGGTAAGATAAATACGTTCTATGCTTCTCCCTCGGGTAATATGGTCTGATGTACGCCTTTTTATAGCAGTGTCATCCCTCGCCTACCGACTCGAGTGACACTGCTACTAAGAGGCGTACATCAGACCGTATTACCCTCGAGAGAAGCATACAACTTATATTGTTCCATAGTATGCCTTTCAGTGATGCATGATTCTAAAGGCGATCTCTATGAGCAGGATAAGATTTCTCGCTGAAGTGATTCTGTCATCTGAAATATGTGCACATTCACACACACACACACGCACACACATCTATATATGTGTGTAAATATCTAAAAATTGTGTGAATTAATTATTTTGAAAGTATGTCTGAAGAATGTTAAGGTTATCACACACACACATCACCCAAAGTAATTATCCCAAAGCACCAAGTGTGTACTTTCTTTTCATCGGCAATGTCTGTGTATGTAATTTACCTTAACCAACACCCTCAGAGTCAGGCATTTTTTGAGGGTGTGGGTTCGAATCCCGGATAGAACTCAACCCAACAAATGTACTAGAATCTGTACTTTACTAAGAAAGTGTAATCCAAAATGTAACATATGTTACATTTGACCACTTTCTAAATTGCATTGCATTGCGGAATATTCAGTCTAATTTTGTAAATAAATCTGTGGTGCTATATCAGTTGCTGTACTGTTCAGAGCAGTAACATGGCAGACGTAATGTACAATTTTAATTCATAATTCAGGATTTAGTCAGGTTCATTTCAGGCCCACTTAAACATTGAAGGGATAGGATGTATTAGAAAGATGAAATTTAATTCCACAAACAAGAAATTCAATGGCTGCATTACCTGTCGAAGAAGAAATACCATAATAAAGAAATCCTTTTTGTTAGAACAGCAATATTTCTACACCACTGCACACAACTGTTGACTGTTATCAATAATGGACTTTTAATACACTTGCGTCTTACGAGATTCTCTCCATCACAACATATAAAACCTCCATGGCAATGCACGCTTTGTTTAAGGCAAAAAGAAATGTGTGTGTTTCTTTATGTAAAGCTAATCCAAATGTTCAAGCCATTTTTTGTAAAGTCTGCTTTTGGAGATAAGAAACGCAAATACTTTCTTTGGCCTGAAAGACACCGAAACGACATGTCTTCCTATTTTAGGGCAGAATGAGAAACACAAGGGAGGTCTCGGAATAATAACTTATCATAACTGCTGACTATTCTGCTCACAGAGTTTGTCTTTGGTTGCAGGCTGGCTAACAAAAAAGAATCAGTCATCCAAAAATGGCCGGAAACCGGGCTCCGTCTTGTCATATGTGGTTCGATGACGGGAAGAAAGGCGACATTCTGATGCAAGACGTGTACGTACCTAGCCATGGGGTCACTCAGTGCACATATTACTGCTGCCTACAGTGGAACGGAGGTCTCAATGGCGGTGGCTACTGTGGTATTCAGGAACACCCTGACGGACAGTGCTATATATTCTCTATCTGGGATCCCACTACTACGAACGAAGCCATAGAAGCGGTTTACAGACATGAAGGAACCAAGACGGAAAAGTTTGGAGGAGAAGGAACCGGTCTGAAGTCGATGAATTTCAAAATCGGATGGAAGCCAGACCATTGGTACACAGTGGTTGCTAGGAGATGGGACTACAAAGGACACACTTACTTCGGGTTTTGGGTTCGGGACCAGGTTGCTAACAAGTGGTTCCATCTCGTTACCATGGATTTCCCGGTGCCGGAAATATACTTCGAGACACCAACTGTTTGTTTCATCGAAGACTGGATTGGGAATGGAGATAAATACAGACGCGTCAACTTCAAGAATGGCTACAAGAGAACGACGGAGGGATCCTGGCTGCCGTTCCAGAAGGCGACGTTCAACGTTCTCCAGGAAGATGCTTGCAGATTATACAACGACAACTACGACGGGGGAATTGACGGTACGAGTTTCTTCATGCAGACTGGCAAGGGGACCACACCTTCTCCCATCTTAGCCACCGACAGGCGATTCCGATGTCAAGACGCTGCAAATTCAGAACCTTCGAATGACCCTATTTGCTTCACTATAAAGGAAGTGACGTCAAAGAAGGTCACATGGTCTGTCCCAGAATCATCGACACCCCAGTTCGCCTATAGGGTTATCGTTGATGGCTTGGATGTTGCTTGTGAAGTTGATCCAGACAAGAGAAGCTGCAGCATCAATGCAACTTGCCGATCTGAGGTGAAGGTCGTTCTACAGGACATCATTGGGAGAAGACGATCGTGGACTCTTCGGGTTGAGTGACTTTACCCTCGCGAGGAAAGAAAGAGCGTTTCACACCTTTTGTTGAAAGCACGGTTATGACCAAGGATCATAATGATTTGTTTGTATATTATTTATCCCAGAAAAAAGAAAGAGTGGAAAGTTGCGAATCATCAAGGCTACATTGACTAAATGAACCCCTGCCATTTGTGACCCATTCGTGTTATTCCGGGACAAGCAAATACGTAACCCACTAGTGTGTTCCGGGATAAGCCGAAGAGCGATTCATGCCTTTCGGAAGGATTTCAATTTGGCGTATGAACATCAGAACTACTTCAAACAAGAACGATAACTCTATTTCTGTTTACTTCCAACAGAAACATTACTCAGAAATTAAAAAAAAATGTAACCTGTTTTAACCAATAATAATGATGATGATGATGATTTGGTGAAAACATATTCTAACTTAATACGGTTTAAGAGTCGCAAATGGGATATTTTCTTTCTGAATAGGCAATTAAATTCGTATTTTATTTCAGCTGTAATTAGTACCAAAATAGATACACAAGATGTCTTATATATTCCGAGCTGATGAATTCGTGGACGAATCATGCACGGTACACCTGCTGTCTGAACGTGCTGCCACACGTATGGTGGAATTTGAAATGAATACAATTTATAATTACACCAACTAAAAATGTATTAAACGCACATAAAATCTTGAAAGCAACCCGCAAGAAAAGAGGAAACGCAATTGAAAACATGAGAGGAGTTAAGTAAACAAACGCATGTGTGTGAATCTCTCACCGGGCATTGCCCTGACTTGGTTGACACATGTCATCGTATCTCACTTGCGTAGAACGATGCTTATAATGTTGATCACTGGATTGTCTGGTCCAGACTCAAATATTTACTGATTGCCGCCATATAACTGAAATATTGCTGTGTGCGGAATAAAACTAAACTCACTTACTCACCAAAACCGTTATAAGGACGCAGGACATTTTTTTTTATCAAAGTACCTCAAGCCTTCCCCGCGTTCTGACTGGTTTGTCGCATTTTCGCACATAACAGATTTATTGTGATATACAGCTTGAAAATTCTGCTGATATAACCGGGCTCACATAGTCCTTTCGGCGCGCACATATGAAATTAATAATTATTAGTGGTGTCCCAGGTATGTAGCAATATCAGAGTTACTCCCCTTAGACTGTCAAAGCTTGCCAACGAGTCAACGACAGCGCATGAAAGACGGAAAAGCGATACGTGGCTGGTAAGGTTTTAAGTTTGAATATATGGGTATGTTATATATAACTCGATACCAAGGCACGTAAAAACGGAGAAATGAGGTCCATCATTAAATATATTCACGAACTGCGAGGTACTTCACTACATAGCATATCATAACGAAAGCGAATGATTTTACATGTGCTTGAAACAGTCCTGGGCCCCGTTCCTCAAAGCGATCGTAGCGCTAAGATGATCGTAACTCCCATACTTTAACATAGAATTACGACTATCGTAGCGCTACGATCGCTTTGAGGAACGGGGCCCTGAACAGTGTAAATTCTCAGATGTAAATGTGTGATTATTCTATGCGACAACATAAACGGAGAAGGGGAGGTAATATGTTGACGTGTACATGTTTAGTTATATTTGATGACGTGGATAGCAGACCCAATATTGTTGATGATGTCTGTATGTAGATATCGATCTGCTTTACGTTTGATTACACAGCCCCGCTTGTCTATACACCTGAATAAACATTCACTGTATCTCAGTTCTGATCAAACTGGTTTTGTATATGTGTTGCCAGTGTTACCTGGGGCTTTGTTTGGTTGTACGATATTAGACGCATTCTATATGATTTTACTCATAGCTATAATATTTGACGAGGTGAGGTGAGGTGAGGTGAGGTGAGGCATGGCGAGGCTTGGCTTTAACGTCAAGAACAGTATAGTTTCACTTAGCCTACACAGCAACGTGTATGCTCGTATGTGTGTTTGTGTTTGTGTGCGCGTGCGTGAGACTGCTAGTACCACATCGGACTACTGGGGCAATTCAGTTTAATCCACTGAGATACCAGTACATGGTTTAATATGTATGAAGCACAGTATGAGGACGTCGAGTCGACCGTGCCGTGTTCATCCCTTAATGGGGCGGTGGGTTAGCCTACTGGTTAAGGCCTTCGCTCATCACGCTGAAGACCCGGGTTCTATTCCCCACATGGGTACAATGTGTGAAGCCTATTTCTGGTGTCCCACGCCGTGATATTGCTGAAATATTGCTATTAAAAACCACACCAAACGCACGCACTCATGCACGCACGCACGCACTCACGATGCGTACCTCTTTGGTCATGTTCAACGGTCATCTCATCTTGCTAGGACGCTGGTCACAAGGCAACCCAATTATCTAAACAGCCAACAGAAGGACCATGATGACAACCAAATATTGTATGATATGGGTATTGTTTCTCAAACGAAAGTCACCTGACGACCCAAACTGGTGCCATGACGATTCAAAGTTGTAACATGGAGAACCATACAGGTAGCACCGCGAGGATAACCGATGCCATGGCGAGACTAAGTGACCACATGACGAACAAACAGGTGTTAATACTAATTATACGTTGTTACATGACACATAAACTGTCAGCATTGACACAAACTGGCAGCATGACGATATAACGTGGTCACATGAAGACATAACATGGTCACATGACGACAAACTGGTTACATGATGACATAAAGTGGTCACATGACGATAAACTAGTTACATGATGACATAAAGTGGTCACATGGCGACATAACGTGGTCACATGATGACATAAAGTGGTCACATGGCAACATAACGTGGTCACATGACAACATAAAGTGGTCACATGGCGACATAAAGGGATAACATCAGACATGAAGTGGTAACATGACGACACAAACTGGTCAGATGACAACATGAAGTGGTTACATGCCATAAACGGATAACATGACGTCATGAACTAGTAACATGATGACATGAAATGGTAACGTGACAACATTAACTGGTAACATGATGACATCAAGTGGCAACATGACGACATGAAGTGGTAACATGTCGTCAAAGTGGAAACATCACGACATGAAGTGGTCAGATGACGACAAAGTAGTAACATCACGACATGAAGTAACATGGCAACATGAAGTGGTAAGATGACGACATGAAGTGGAAACATGGCAACATGAAATGGTATGATGTTATAAATTAGTAATGTTATAACATGACGACATGAAGTGGTAAAATGACGACATAAAGTGGTAACATGATGACATGAAGTGGTAACATGACGACATGAAGTGGTAGCATGACGACAGAAAGTGGTATCATGATGACAAAGTGGTAGCATGACGACATGAAGTGGTAACACGACGACATAAAGTGGTAGCATGATGACAAAGTGGTAGCATGACGACATGAAGTGGCAACATTATGACTTAAAGTGGTAACATGACGACATGAAGTGGTAGCATGATGACATGAAGTAGTAGCATGACGACAGAAAGTGGTAACATGATGACAAAGTGGTAACATGATGACAAAGTAGTAACATGACAACATGAAGTGGTACCATGATAACATGAAGTGGTACCATGATAACATGAAGTGGTACCATGATAACATGAAGTGGTACCAAGTGGTACCATGATGACATGAAGTGGTACCATGATAACATGAAGTGGTAACATGATAACATGAAGTGGAAACATGACAAGATGAAGTGGTACCATGATGACATGAAGTGGTAGCATGATGTCATAAATTAGTACCATTATAACATGACAACATAAAGTTGTAACATGATGACATGAAGTGGTAACATCACACATATAGTGGTACCATGATGACATGAAATGGTACCATGATGACATGAAGTGGTACCAAGACGACATAAAGTGGTACCATGACGACACACAAATTAGTAACGTTATAACATGACAACATGAAGTGGTAACATGATGACATGAAGTGGTAGCATGCCGATAGAAAGTGGTAACATGATTTATAAAGTGGTAACATGAGATGTAGTGGTAACATGAAGTGAAGTGGTAACATGACATGAAGCGGTAACATGACGACACGAAGCGGTAACATGACATAAAGTGGTAACATGATGACATGAAGTGGTACCATGAAGACATGAAGTGGTAACATGACGTCAAAGTGGTAACATGACGACATAAGTGGTAACATGACGTCAAAGTGGTAACATGAAGACATGAAGTGGTAACATCACTACAAAGTGGTAACATGAACATGACATAAAGTGGTAACATGACGACATGAATTGGTAACATAATATGACGTGGTAACAAGACATGGTAACATGACGACATAAAGTGGTAACATGATGACATAAAGTGGTAACATGACGTCAAAGTGGTAACATGACGACATAAAGTGGTAACATGACATGGAGTGGTACCATGACGACATGAAGTGGTACCATGACGACATGAAGTGGTAGCATGACGACAGAAAGTTGTAACATGAAGACAAAGTGGTAGCATGACGACATGAAGTGGTAACATGACGACATGAAGTGGTAGCAGGACGACAGAAAGTTTTAAGATGACGGCAAAGTTGTAGCATGACGACATGAAGTGCATGATGACATGAAGTGGTAACATGACGACATGAAGTGGTACCATGACACCATGAAGTGGTAACATGACGACAGAAAGTGGTAACATGATGACATGAAGTGGTAACATGACGACATGAAGTGGTACCATGACGACATAAATTATTAACGTGATAAGTTTTAAGATGACGGCAAAGTTGTAGCATGACGACATGAAGTGGTAACATTATGAGATGAAGTGGTAACATGACACCATGAAGTGGTAACATGATGACATGAAGTGGTACCATGACGACATAAATTATTAACGTGATAACATGAGGATGTAAAGTGGTAACGGGATAACATGCCGACATGAAGTGATAACATGACGACATAAAGTTGACACTAGTGGTTACATGACAACATTAGGTGGTAACATGACGACACAAATTGGTTGCATGATGAGACGTGGTGGTAACAGCACGGCATAAAGTGGCAACATGACGACATAAAGTGTAACATGTCAACATAAACGGGTAACAGATAACATATCTCCAGCTGGAAGACACTTCATGCTCTGTGTCCAAAGCATTTCAATTTCATTTTGTGGTTGCGCCATACAGTTTGTTCTTTCTGGTCGCAGAACATCAACGTGTTTCATGACGCAAAGGTTGCCAAATATTTCATAATTCCTACGTTTTATACAATCCCGTAATTAAGTAAGATTTACGGCCACAAGAAACAGCTTCTGAAACCCAGAAAAGATCATGCATGCGGTATATATCAGCCACTCTGTTGACCTGAAGATGATCAAAGCCAAAATATCATGAATTCCTGCAAGATGTGTCATCTGAGAATTGGGCTATTTGTTTAAGCCAGAAGTCACAAATGTTTAGTTGTTGAGTGACGTGTTTATGTCCGGAGTGAAAACATAACGGCCGTTGACGATGTCCCTTAATGAAGGAAATAACTTACGATCAGTAGTAACGTCGCCTGGAAGAGACGTGGGAGGAAACTATGCTTTAGCGCGGGATATTCTAGTACCCGCACGAGCTAGGCGAGTGGCGAGTGTTTTGTCTGTTGTTCAATACTGCACTCACCAGTATTCCACCAATATGAAATCGGCCTGTTAATGATTGTGTGATGAACTACTGCTACTGCTACTGCTACTGCTACTGCTGCTACTACTACTACTACTACTACTACTACTACTACTACTACTACTACTACTACTACTACTGCTACTGCTGCTGCTACTGCTACTACTACTACTGCTACTACTGCTACTACTATTGGCCCGAGAAGATCCAGATGAGGATTGGTCTTCAGAAATACACACTTGTCGTAGGCGACTAACGGGATCGGGTAGTCACACTTGCTGACTTGGTTCATACATATAGAAGAATCTCACCCAAGTGTCTTCTGATTTCAAGTATATCAACACGAGTTGATTAAAGTCATAAATATCCGAGGCTTGTCGAGGATATATTTACATTAATCAACGAGTGTTGATATATTCGATATCAGAAGACACGAGGGTGAGATTGTATTTACCATCAAAATTCATTCCTCATCAGTTATCTTGAGCAGTGATTTCAGTGAGGTCATAGCATTGTGACGTCGTCAGCTTATGACATAGGATTGTGACGTTATTAACTTTGTGACGTCATAGTATTGTCAGATGTGTTTTTCGTGATGTCAAAGCATTGTGAGGTCATTTACTGATGATATGATAGCATTATGACAGTTCAGTTGTTGCGATATCTACTGTGTCAGTTTTGGATATCTACTGTGTCAGTTTTGGATGATAAATCATCACATCCAAATTCGATGCTCATGCTATTGATCGCTGGATTGTCTGGTCCAGACTTGATTATTTATTGACGCCGCTATATAGCTGGAATATTGCAGAGTGCGGCGTTAAACAACAAACATTAAAATGGAAAACGTGTGAAGCTTTAAACAATCAAACAAACAAATTGCTGTTACTACTACTACTACTACTACTACTACTACTACTACTACTACTGCTACTACTACTAGTGCCACTACGACATTAACAACTACTAATACTATTATATGGATAGAGATTATTACACGAGCAAGTGTGTCATACGACTTATACCAAACGAGTGTGAAAGTGTGTATTGCCACGAACTTTCGCTCGTTAGATACCAAACCATTCACTCGTTTCATAAATATGGTATTACACGGGACATAGTTTAGTATTTTATTTATTACTCACCCAACATTAGCAAACTAATATCGAGCAAAGTACTTCTTTCCTAAGAATTCAACAAGTGTGATGACTCTCAGCTTTCCGCGATTCAAGCAAGGTCTAATACTATTGTGACAGAGGTATTAGCATTGTGACGTCATAACTGTAAACCAGTTTTACGTCATACGTACGGCACTGCGCGATGTTAATTGTTATTACACTATGTGTACACTTTTGTTATTACACTATGTGTAATAACATTGTAAAATTATTAAAAAGTGATATCTTCAACGGGTGAGTAATAAATGATATGTACGTCAAGGATTCAGTTTACTGTATCTGATCACAGCGTCACAGCCACAGATCCCTTTATAGAGGAATTTGTAACTCCCCGAATATGTCACATGTTAAAATTATTTCTACGTCAAGGATTCAGTTTCACAGTTGTGTGTTCAGTTTTAATTAACACCCGCCATAGAGCTGGAATATTGCTGAGTGCGGCGTAAAACCAAAACTCAAGGCATTTGTGAAATTAAAGAGAAAATACGCAGGTATTAAACTCTTACAACTCTTAACACATGAGCTCAGTTCGGAAAACTCAAGATATGAAGGATAATCAAGAAGTAAAACCGCGGTCATAAATTACATCTTACAGCGAATTTCGGCGCTGTGCCGACCTGTCCCCTACTTTGATGGAAACTGCAGATAACTTTATCGCTGTAGGTTAGTTTAATGGTAGCGCTACGGGCTGCAGCTTAGCGTCAATACTTTCTGATGTGTTAATAAATGTTTCCATCCACTGATCAGTATTTCCGAGCTGTTACACTGAATGTGAATCACACTCCAGCGATGATATGTTATTAATGCTCCCTGATAAGTGAAACAAGGTGAATCTCAGATCAGAGATTTATTGCTGCACATCTATACTCTAGCCAGTCTCCAAATGACTCTTGCTTGACAACGGTATAAGAAGCTATACTGAAACGTCGCATCATAAGAAATAAAGAAGTTGTTATCCATGAAATATTATACTTTTCAATTATACATCAACTTCTAAAATGCCAATCAAACAGAACAGTCTCCAAATGTGAAAACATTTTATAACCTAACATCGACGTTGGGTGGAATTATGAAAGCGTTTGCACTAAGGTCGATACCAGCTGGCGCCTGTTGTTGAGCGAACAAATAGCAGAACTCCTGCCCGGGACACAAACAGCTTCAGCTCCTCCGTGCTGGTCAACACCGGTGAGTACACGAACCTTACACGTATTTCCTATATTTATTACGTTTCACTATGTTGTCTTTGAGTTTGAGGGAGATACCATATCGCATGGGCTTTACTAGTCCTTGTAGCGAGTGAGTATGGTTTTACGCCGTCTCTAGGAATAATACAATACAATATCACGGCGGGGGACAGCAGGTATGGGCTTCACACATTTTATCAATGTGGGGAATCGAAACTTAGTTTTCGAGGTGACGAGGGTACGCTGTAACAACTAGACTACCCCTACTGCACCCTTCACTCCTTATAAGTACGGGATCGGGTGGTTGGGCTAGCTGACGTGGTTGACACATGTCATCGTATCCCAATTGCGTGAAAGATGCTCACGCTGTTGATCACTGGATCTTTTTTTTGTCCAGGCACGATTATTTACAGACCGCCGCCATATAGCTAAAATATTGCTAAGTGCGGTGTTAAACAACCAACCAACCAACCAGTAATTGTTAGGATATGCCGTTGTTTATTGATGCGGTAAGAGGAGGTCATGACTCATGACACGTTTGTTATCTTAAGGTTTGTTGTTTACCCCCGCAATCATCTATACTTAAGTTTTATGGCTTCTGTAAATAATCGAGTCTGGACCAGACAGTTCAGTGATTTCATAAGCCCATTTAGGATACGATGACATGTAACGTCAGCGAACCTGACCACCCGATCCCGTTTGTCACCTCTTACGACAAGCATGGGCTGCTGAAGACCAGTTCTAACCCGGATCTTGACGGGTTACCATTTTGGAAAAACCAGCGAGCTCAGCGGCCCAAAGATCATAATGGGCGAGAACCTGGGATTCGAACCTACGTTCAAGTTTCTGAAATATGTGTGAATGAAGTAACAGAGGGCGCGCGTCAACAAATTAATCAGAAACGGTGACCGAATGTTAAGACGCCCGTGCGGAGTTCTTTGGTGACTAACGGGATCGGGTGGTCAGGTTCGCTGACTTGGTTGACACACGTCATCGTATCTCAATTGCGTAGATTAATGCTCATGATGTCGATCACTGGATTGTGTGGTCCAAACTCGAGTATATATACAGGCCACCGCCATATAGGTGGGATATTGCTAAGTGCGGGGTTTATCAAACCAACCAAGTAAGTTCCTTGGTCTCGCAGTATCATACGTGTATATGTTTGACTACATTGTATCCGTGCCCAAAATGAGTCGGGCTTTCTTCTTCAGATACGTATGACGGGAATAAAATTCAAAGGTGTGTTAAACCGTAGTCGTAATATACGTGATATTTTATAATAAGATAGACCTCGTTCAAGGTTTCACTTGGCTGCACCTGTGCTGATTCGTGGCGTGTTCGTTTCAGATCCATCATAATTCTTGGAAATTCGGTTAAAGCATCATGTCAGGAAAGAGAGCCCCTTCCTGTCACCTGGTGTTTGACGACCACAGGAAAGGAGACATCCTCATGCACGACGTGCACGTGCCAGGTCACGGGGTCACTATGTACACATACTACTGCTGCATGCAGTGGAACACATGTCTGAACGGGGGAGGTTACTGCGGCATCCAAGAGCACCCAAATGGTCAGTGCTACATATTTTCTATCTGGGATCCCATGACTACGAAGGAAGCCATTACGCATGTTTATAAACACCCTGGCACAAAGGTGGAAAACTTTGGTGGAGAGGGTACCGGGTTGAAGTCCATGAACTTTGACATTGGATGGAAGGCTGATCAATGGTACACTCTGGTCACCAGAAGATGGGACTACAAAGGACATTCCTACTTTGGGTTTTGGGTTCGGAACCATTCCGCTGACAAATGGGAGCACGTGGTTACCATGGATTTTCCAGTCCCGGATATCTGGTTCCAGACCAATACGAAATCTTTCATTGAGGACTGGAGTGGAAATGGGGAGAAGTACAGGCGAGTCCATTTTCAGAATGGGTACAAGAGAAGAGATGATAAATCCTGGCATCCCTTCGCCAACGCCAAGTTCCACGTTCACCAGGAAAAAGCATGCGAAATGTACAACGACAACTACGATGGGGACGTCACTGCGACGGCTTCTTCATGCAGTCGGGATGCGGAACGACTCCGTGTGCGGAGCTGGTGCGAGGTCGTGATGTCTGCTGCGACAAGGTGGCGTCGCCTGAGCCCTGTAACGTTCCCATTTCCTTTACAGCATCAGCATCAGCCGACAAGGTCACGTGGGCTGTGCCCGAATCAGCTACGCCACAGTTTGCCTACACCATCATTGTTGACGGCACAGAAGTTACCAGTGATGTTGACCCCGAGGTTAGGTCACGTGACATCACAGTTCCTGGAAAGGAAGTTGAGGTCATCCTTGAGGACATTCTGGGCAGGAAGACATCCTCGAAGGTTTCCGTAAAAGAAGAGACCTCTTCGGACGACTCGGAATGACCCTCGTTCCAGTTGTGACCCTCGTTACAGACGTTACGTAGTTTCTGGTAGAATATAAATATTTGTTGAGATTTCAGGAGAATGGGCAGTTAACATAACATTCTACTTCTTCCAATGGAACATTTACCTGTGGTATTCTGCTTTGAATTATTTCTGTCAAAAAATTCATATCTGACATGTGCAATTTATGCGTATTTACAGGTTGCAATATCATCTTTATGTATTGAATTTCTCTGTTATATTTCTTATATTTCTTAAAATTAATGCATTAGTTCGTTCACACATGTCTCCATGTTGTACTCTTTTCTTTTCATGCACGGTTGTTCTTGTCGATATCTATATAACCATGTCGATTGTCGTGTACAACGTCAATATCATTGACAAATATATGCCGCAAACGATATGAATCATGACAGCTGTCCTTTTGTGGTGTGTATCGAATACTAGTTGCCTGGCAGAGTCAGTCAGTTGTTCCAACTGGCGGGACATCAATAACCGAAACTATTCAGGAGTTCTGGTGCGGGGTTTTGTCCTGAGCAATACAGACTCCATACAGAATCGGTCTTAGGTGAATGAGTGAGTTTTGTGTTACACCGCCTTTATACCAACGTTGGGAATCGATCCAGGGTCTTTGACGTGACGAGCGAACGCTTTAACCACTAGGATACCCCACCACCCCTCAAATCTTACGTGAGTGAGTATGGTTTTACGACGCTTTTAGCAATATTCCAGCAATATCACAGCGGGGGACACGAGAAATGGGCTTCACACATTGTACCCATGTTGGGAATCGAATCCGGGTTTTTGGCGTGACGAGCGAACGCTTGACTCACGAGGCTACCCCACCACCCCTCAAATCTTAAGAGTGAGTGTGTGAGTGAGTTTAGAATATTGCCGCACTCAGCAATACCCGGTATTCCAGCTATATGGCGGCGGTCTGTAAATAATCGAGTCTGGACCAGACAACCCAGTGATCAACATCATGAGCATCGATCTGCGCAATTGGGAACCGATGACATGTGTCAACCAAGTCAGCGAGCCTGACCGCCGTTTGTCGCCTCTTACGACAAGCATAGGTTACTGAAGATCAATAGTCTAACTCGGACCTTCACGGGTATCAAATCTTAAGAACGACCAGAGCAGGGATCTGTTGCTGACAGTGATATATGTATGTACTGCCAGTCACCGGATAGTCAGGTCAAGACGTAAATGTATTCACTCACACTGATCAGTGAATATTGCTAAATGTGACACCCATCTTGCAGAAATTCGCCGTTTGAGATCTGTGATAACTGTATGAAATGGGCTGTATTGTCCGTATAAACAATAATATGTTTCTAATGAACATAGTCCAGACTCGATTATTTACAGACCACCACCATATATCTGGAATATTGCCAAGTGCGGCGTAAAACTAAACTCACTCACTCACTCTAATGAACATATCGTAATGGAGAGAGCACAATGTTTGGTTAAAGCCATTATTTTGGACACTTACATATTTAAGTTCCCAAGGTAAAGTATGAGTCAGTTGGTCGGTGGGGTAGCCTAGTGGTTAGAGCGTTTGCTCCTCACGCCGGGTTCGATTCCCCACATGGGTACAATGTGTGAAGCCCATTTCTGGTGTCCCCCGCCGTGATATTGCTGGAATATTGTTAAAAGCGACGTAAAACAGAACTCACTCACTTTCAGTTGTCAATTAATAATAATGACGGCAGTTTTATTGACAGATGGGAATATCTCTCACCGTGTATCGTATGTCCTCTAGTAAGGGCCTGGACAGTATGGTTTCATGAGCCAGTCAGTATGGTTTTATGAGTCTGTATGATTTCATGAGTCAGTCTGTTTGGTTTTATGAGTCAGTCAGCATGGTTTTACGCCACTTCTAGCAATATTCCATTAATCTCACGGCGGGAAACACCACAAATGGATTTCACACATTGTGGCCATGTGGGGAATCGAACCCGGGTCTACGGCGTGACGAGTCAACCTTTTGACGTCTAGGCTACTCTACCGCCCCATGCTCGATTAGAAGCCAGTTTTTATCGTTCGAGACAGTCAGTCGAAATGCCAGTGAGTTAACATTGCTTTACGTCGCATCAACAATTGTTCAGAGATTTGCTTCGACAATAGAAGTAAGTGCTTTGCTTGAAAATGATAATTGCAAAATCTTTACCCATACAGTTTGTCTTTACAGGCAGATTAGCGCACACAACGAATCGTCAACTGGAAACGTTTCTGTCATCGCACAATGGCCGGAAACCGGGCTCCGTCTTGTCACATGTGGTTCGATGACCGGAAGAAAGGCGACATTCTCATGCACGACGTGTACGTACCTAGCCACGGGGTCACTCAGTGCACATATTACTGCTGCCTACAGTGGAACGGAGGTCTCAATGGCGGAGGTTACTGTGGTATCCAGGAACACCCTGACGGACAGTGCTATATATTCTCTATCTGGGATCCCACTACTACGAACGAAGCCATAGAAGCGGTTTACAGACATGAAGGAACCAAGACGGAAAAGTTTGGAGGAGAAGGGACCGGTCTGAAGTCGATGAATTTCAAAATCGGATGGAAGCCAGACCATTGGTACACAGTGGTTGCTAGGAGATGGGACTACAAAGGACACACTTACTTCGGGTTTTGGGTTCGGGACCAGATTGCCAATACGTGGTTCCACCTCGTTACCATGGATTTCCCGGTGCCGGAAATATACTTCGAGACACCAACTGTTTGTTTCATCGAAGATTGGATTGGGAATGGAGATAAATACAGACGTGTCAACTTCAAGAATGGTTACAAGAGAACGACGGAGGGATCCTGGCTGCCGTTTCAGAAGGCGACGTTCAACGTTCTCCAGGAAGATGCTTGCAGATTATACAACGACAACTACGACGGGGGAATTGACTGTAATGACTTCTTCATGCAGACTGGCAAGGGGACCACACCCAATTCTATCTTAGCCACCGACAGGCAGTTCCCATGCTCGTTCGCTGCTCAATCAGAACCGTCCAATTGTACCATAGACTTCACCATAGAGGAAGTGACGTCAAAGAAGGTCACGTGGTCCGTCAAAGAATCATCCACACCTCAGTTTTCGTTCAGGGTGTTTGTTGATGGTTCGGAGGTTGTCCGAGATATTGATCCAGAAAAAAGACGTTGTAGAATTGCGGCAAATCGGAGGTCAGAGGTGAAGGTTATTTTAGAGGACATTGTTGGGCGGGAGGCCACACTGACTGCACGGGTTCAACGTAAATGTGGTTGCTGTGTCTGTATGTAAGCCAGATAGGACTAAGCGTATGTACAGTACAGCATGTTAACCATCGGCGTTGTTGGGGTGATTGTTGTCAGTGTTTTACCTGCGTTTGCATCCCAGGCTTGTGAAAAGCAGCAGCTTGTAAAATATTACTAATTTCAGGTGGTGCGAGTTTGAGGGATTTTTTTGTTATTACACTTTCAGGTATGGAAGAGGTGCTTTTGTATTTGATGATGGAGATTTTGTATGTTGATGGCGGCATGACTCCATTAAAGGGTGTTTTACATCAGAAAGCCTATATCTCTGGGACACGGATTGGAAGTATTGTGTTATTCCTCAGGGACCATCAATTAGATATTCTAGAGGCGCGGATCCTATTGAAAAGAATAGACAGACACACACAAAATTGTTGCAAGGTATGTTTTTCCTCCTTATTAAATCCCACTCCGCCCCAAGAATATCAAATACCAGGGACCTTATTTTCGAAACGTTCGTAGCGCTAAGAATTCTTAACTTTGATCGTAGCCAATGTAGTAAGATTGGGCTGAAAACTTTCGTGGGGATACGAACGTTTCGAGAATAGCCAGCCAGGTCCCTTAAGAGCCGATCTTACCAAATGTTAGACATATTCTCACATATGACTTACGTGGCAGTAGATGACAATATGTGATCTTATTTTTAAGGCCGCTTAGATTTAGGGGCGGTTGGGTAGCCTAGTGGTTAAAGCGTTCGCTCGTCACGCCGAAGACCCGGGTTCGATTCCCCACATGGTTTCAATGTGTGAAGCCCATTTCTGGTGTCCCCGGCGTGATATTGCTGTAATATTGCTAAAATCGGCGTAAAATCATACTCACTCACTCATTATTTAGATTTATTTTACTCCGCCATAATCATACACCCAAATGCAAATCCATCGATTTGCCCACCTGAACGAAAACTAGAATAACGGACTGACAGTATTTGCCACGAGTGATTGTTAAGATTTGCAGTTTCAGCTGAGTCTCAGTTATTCGGTATGAGGCCATCCGATAATACCGAGTCACGGGACGAAGTGGATGTTTCCCATCTTTAAAGCAAAATGTTAAAACCAAACACGAGAAATGAATTCTGTTCATCATTTTCTCATTACTCTTTCGCTTTTAAGAATGAATGCTTCAAAATCATCTTCAGAAACGTGTCGCCATTTCCCCTAAATCTGACCTATATATCGTGTTAGGTGATAAATAGAGAATCTCAACAAAGTGTCTTTTGACGAGTTGTCATATATTTGATATCAAAAGAAACGAGGGGGAGATTCTGTTTATCATCCAATATCATATTTAATTTGTCGTTCAAAAGAAATTATAATCAAAACGTCACCTCTTGCAAGTTCATTTGAAAACTTGTGTATGAATACATTCAAGTGAAACAGAGTGATGGAAGAGGGAACGAGTGACACCATTACGTCATAAAAACAAGCACATAAAAAGTAATGCTGACTTTATTGCTTTAAACTCTGCAATGCATAGGTTTCATCATTTCTTGTTGGCATTAAGTAAACTTTTATGTCTTTAGGACAAATCACGAACAACAATAACTATTTTGACCTCAAACAAGAAACTTCCATCTTTGTTTACAGCTAAGGGAGATGAAGGTAGTCCGAAAATATTGACCAATCAGCCATTAGCTCAAAACTTACCAAAAGAGATATTTTTACTTCAAGTTTAAAAACGGTAATAACGATGCCATTTTATCTCGGGTATCATTTCACTGATATTTAGCTTCTGGATAACGTTCCGATTACGGTTATCTAATTTGCATATCTAATGTGCATACTTTTGCCATTTGCGTATTACATACACGTTTTTATGTCATAAGGCTATGTCACGAATAAATGCTTTAGTTAAACAGTAACTGACAACGGTGCAAAGAGAAACATTACCTTGGACACGGGCCATATGAGAGTGATATACCTTGACGGAACACTGACGCCAGTTAAAGCTTTACATGACAGTTGTGTCTAGTCTACTCTAAATATTTCAAAAGTCTGTGTAAAGACTTCAAAGTCAATATTTAATTCTGTAAGGGACCCGTTCATAATTTATGGCAGGGGGGAATGTGTGGTGTGGGGTGTGGTGATGATTTTTATGGAGAAGTATGTACCCCCTTCTAACATTGATGTACAAAGTAAGTGACCCCACCCTGCATGTCATGTACAACATCAATGCCCCCCCCATAATTTTGAAGTATGTTTTAATATTTTTGTACAAAATTGATGACCTCCCTAGTACATGTGTGCAAAATTGATGACCCCCTACCTCCCCAGGACAAAATGGGTGACCCCCCCCTTAAAATCATCATCACCCCATAGTCATACATTATGTACGGTCCCTAAGTCTTCTGCTGTCATACCTTGCACGTCGAGGACCTGATGAGGTCACATTATCACACTGAGGTCAACGATATAGCTCCAGGGGATTTATACGTGCTGTTTTGGTAACTTTTATCTGGTAGGTGTGCAGACAGTCACACAAACAGGATGTTCAGCTTCAAACATACACCCACGACTGTGAAGATTTAGCAAACGCCTAGGATTACAACCGGCGTCAGGTGGCGCTGCCACGTCAATCACGGCTGGGGTGGCTGTGTTTGTGTGGAAGGGTAATGTGGAAGATATTTGCCAGTTTTTGCCAGAATCGGCTACAAATTGATAACAAATGCGTCCAGATTACGCCCCAGAGCTACTAATTTCACAGAAACAACTACGATTGCTTATGTTTTAGACAAGGTGCCATTATCTATTCTACATAATAAATCATCCAATATGGCAGCTATCCTGCCATTGCCACTTCATGACATCAAAAATATTCACGTTATATTCACATTATCTTGAAGAAGATGTGAACTTTACTTTGAAGAACTTATTTCCTGAGCTATATCCACTGCCCAAATAGAATCATAATCATCATCATCACCACCATCACTATCATCATGATATTTTGACATCTACAGATGCAAAATGGAAAATTAACTACAAAACATAAAACATTAATTTTCCAAAATGAGGTTATATATTATAACCAAGAACTACTACAACAAAAAAACACTGAATATTTTTTTCTTTGGCAGTTTTGGAAAAAAATCCAAATTGAATAATGTAAGTGAGTGAGTGAGTTTAGTTTTACGTCGCACTCAGCAATATTCCAGCTATGTCGTGTCTGGACCAAACAATCCAGTGATCAACAGCATGAGCATCGATCGGCGCAATATTGGGAATCGATGACATGTGTCAAGCCTGAAATTCTATCCCGGAGCGAGCCCTGACCACACGATCCCGTTAGTCGCCTCTTACGACAAGCATGGGTTACTGAAGGTTCATTCTATCCCGGACCTTCAAGTTCAAGATGGCAACAAACATAGCCTTTGGAGTGAGTGAGTTTAGTTCCACGCCGCTTTTAGCAATGTTCCAGCAATATTCCGGCGGGGGACACCAGAAATGGGCTTCACACATTCCACCCATGTGGGGAATCGAACCCAGACCTTCGGCTTAAAGAGCGAACGCTTGAACCACGAGGCTACACCACCGCCGCTATAACCTTTGTCAACAACCATGGCCCTTGTGACGACGTGCAAGCGTGTGTATGTGCGACTGCTTGTACTAGTCCAGACTTCAGTTGGTTTTACAGTGCTTGCTCACTGAGATACCATGTTGCAGTTAAACATGAATACCCCACTCAGACACATCATACTGACCCCGAGCTGACTAGTCCTTCTTGTACCCATTAATGCCGAACGCGAGGCAGGGCCCAACAAGTACCATATTTTAATGTCTGTTGGTATGCCGCGCTAGTGGATCGAACCCGCGACCTTCCGCTCTGCACTACACCACGGAGGCGGTAGGACATGTACTTGACAGATACGGGAACAGAACTGATGGATATCGTCGTGACGTAACGTGTACCCCATGAGTGAGTGTGTAAGGTTTTACGCCACTTTTAACACTATTTCATCACAGCTGGCGACACCAGAAATGGCCTGCGCACTTTGTACCCATGTGGAGAATCTAACTCTGGTCTTCGGCGTGACGAGGGAACAATTCAACCACTAGACTACCTTATAGCTGGACCGCCTCCGTGGTGTAGTGGTTAGAGCGTCCGCACAGAGAGCGGAAGGTCGCGGGTTCGATCCCTGACTGCGTCATACCAAAAGACGTTAAAATATGGTACTTGTTGGTTTCTGCCTGGCGCTCGGCATTAATGGGTACAACAAGGACTGGTCGGCTCGGAGTCAGTATAATGTGTCTGAGTGGGGTATTCATGATTCACTTTGGCATGGTATCTCAGTGGGCTAGCACTATAAAACCCGCCTAAGTCTGGGCTAGAACAAGCAGCCGCACATACACATACACATACCACACGCATGCACGTCGTCATATGAGCGAAATATTCTCAAGCACGACGTAAAACCCACTTTCACCTCACCTCACCTTATAGCTGGGATAGAATTGGTTCTCAGCAACCCATGCTTGTCATCAGCGGCGAGTAACAATATGGGATGATTAGGCTCGATCGGGGCTTTGCATCGTATCGTAATTGAGTGGATAGTCGTTCATGATATATACCACTGATTGATTGGTCCGGATTCGATTGTTTACAAACGGCCGGCATGTAGCTGGAATAACGTGCAGTGCGGCACTCAAACACAAACACATGTGTCTCTAGGGCTCGTTAAACGTTCAACAATAGTGAGTGAGTGAGTTGGGTTTTACGCCGCTTTAGCAATATTCCAGCAATATCAGGGCGGGGGACACCAGAAATGGACTTCACACAATGTGCCCATGTGGGGAATCGAACCCGGGCCTTCGGCGTGACGAGCGAACGCTTTAACCACTAGGCTACCCCACCGCCCGTTCAACAATAGACATACAGAGAGTCAGTCTTCCTGACAAGATGCTATTGTGTCGTTGCCATATTGCTAGGACTTTTCCTCAGTTTTCCTCTGACCCGTTAAGATCCGGGTTAGAATTGATCTTCAGCAACCCATGCTTGTCGCAAGAGGTAACAAATAGGATCGGGTGGTCAGGCTCGCTGACTTGACTAACACATGTCACCGTATCCCAAATGCCAAGATCGATGCTCATGCTGTTGATCACTGGGTTGTGTGGTCCAAACTGGATTATTTACAGACCGCCGTTATATAGCTGGAACATTGCTAAACGCGGCGTTAAACGACAACCAAACAGTTTTGCTTCTGGGTGAGTGTGTGAGTGAGTTTTATTTTACACCACCGTTTACACATTACTATACATCTTGAAAACATCCACACATCGTACCCGG